AATTCATAGATAATTGTGAGGTGGTGGATGCACCAATGATAGGTAGAAAATTCACTTGGTGCAATGCACTGGATGGAAATAAATGGAGTAGAATTGACAGGTTTCTTATTAGCCCTGAATGGTTGATGAGGTTCAAGCTCAAACTCTGGGGCCTTCCCAGCACTGTCTCTGACCACTGCCCACTTGTACTTATGGAGGATGAAAGGGATTGAGGGCCCAAACCATGCAAGTTTCTAAATGCTTGGCTCTTACACCCAAACCTAGCTTCTATAGTGGAGACCACATGGAGGGAAACACAGTTGTAGGGGTCTGATGAACTCCTCCTGAAAAAGAAACTGCAGGTTCTGAAAATGGCATTAAAAAAGTGGAGTAAAGAAGATTATGACAATGTTGCGAACAAGCTAAAAGATACAGAATTTGTCCTTCATGAACTTGATCTAATAGTCGAAACAAGACCCTTGGTAGAGGTAGAGTTGAAACTACTAAGAGAGAGAAGAAATGAAAAGTGGTCACTAAGCAGGAAGCTGGAATGGGAGTGGCTCCAAAAGTCGAGGATGGACTGGACACTAAAAGGCGACAGGAACACTAAATTTTCCATGCAATGGCAAGTAGCAGGCAAGCTAGAAACACCATCAATTCCATTACAGTAGGGGATGCGCCTTTTGAGGAGCCAAATATTGTCAAGCATGCGGTATAGAATCATTTCTCAAATCTATTCACAGATGATTGGAAGATCAGACCTATCTTAACTAGGGACTTCACGAGTGTTAGATCCAGTACTTCTTTTCACTTGCTAGAAGCTGAATTTTCTGAAGAAGAAATTTGGGCAGCAATCAAAGACTGCAATGGGAACAAAGCCCCAGGTCCAGATGGTTTCAACTTGTTGTTCTTTCTGAAATTTTGGAAGCTACTCAAAGATGATAGTATTAACTTTATGAAAGACTTCTATGCTAATGGAAAACTGGCTCCGGGTTTAAGCAGTTCTTTTATTACTCTCATCCCAAAAAAGGAGAAAGCTGTGTCATTAAATGAATACGGACCCATTTGTTTGATTGGCTCTGTTTACAAAATTCTCTCAAAAGTACTCACAGCTAGGCTTCAACAAGTCATGCCTACGGTAATCGGGGACTCACAATTAGCTTTTCTGGGGGGTAGAAGCATTCTTAATGGAGTCTTGATCGCAAATGAAGTTGTGGATGGCTGCAATAAATCCAAGAAAGCAGGGTTTGTGAGGCCCCTGACTTTTTTTGTAAACCTTATTAGGTCCCTAAATTTTGAATTATTATAATAAAGCCCTTAGTTCGTCGATTAATCGCAAATTAAGCCCTAGGACTGAAAACGCATCACGGGCGAATCCATACAAACCCTAATCGATCCTGGAAGCTTAGAAATCACTTCTAACACTCTAATGTTAATTACTTAACTCTCAAATTTTAGATTAATCGCTCTAAACCTCAACTTTCAATTTTTACAGTCATCGTTCGGTTATTTACCTTTAAATTCAAAGCAAGATAATAGAAACTGAATTATTTTACACTTGAAATAGATACTTTAATTGAACCCAAGCCCGCACATTTTTATTAAATCACAAATTGACCCCAAACAAGTACTATTATATATTTATATATATACACTTTTACCCAAAAATCTTTTTTAATAATATATTTTACAATTTCCAAGATTTGTACAATACATATATATATATATATATAACATGTCCATCAATTCACTATCACATGGCTAGCCATCATACCACCCCTAGACTATAATATTGTACTTTAAAATCTCTTGAAATCTTGGAGCAATAATGACTTTGGTACCTATAAAGATTTGCTATATATATGTGTGTACTTCTAACTAGAAGATATTTACATTAGTCCTAGACCTAACTAGATCATAATTAAATACATCATTAAGGTTCTAATCCTCCTCATTTCATTACATTTAATGTGAAACCCCAGAAAAAATGTATTTGAATTATTTCCTTAAAGCCCCTGATTGTGTAATTGTCAACACCTATGCTTCAAATGATGTAGTAAGGAGGAAGGAATTATGGGTGACCCTACTAAACCTAAAGCATTCTTTCTCAAAACCATGGTGCCTTGGGGGGGACTTTAATGAGATCAGAACAGTAGGGAAAAGGAGAGGGGTCTCATGCAGGGATAGGGGCATAAAGGAATTCAATCAATTCATAGATAATTGTGAGGTGGTGGATGTACCAATGATAGGTAGAAAATTCACTTGGTGCAATGCACTGGATGGGAATAAATGGAGTAGAATTGACAGGTTTCTCATTAGCCCTGAATGGTTGATGAGGTTCAAGCTCAAACTCTGGGGCCTTCCCAGAACTGTCTCTGACCACTGCCCACTTGTACTTATGGAGGATGAAAGGGATTGGGGGCCCAAACCATACAAGTTTCTAAATGCTTGGCTCTTACACCCAAACCTAGCTTCTATAGTGGAGACCACATGGAGGGAAACACAGTTGTAGGGGTCTGATGGACTCCTCCTGAAAAAGAAACTACAGGTTCTGAAAATGGCATTAAAAAAGTGGAGTAAAGAAGATTATGGCAATGTTGCGAACAAGCTAAAAGATACAGAATCTGTCCTTCATGAACTTGATCTAATAGTCGAAACAAGACCCTGGGTAGAGGCAGAGTTGAAACTACTAAGAGAGAGAAGAAATGAAAAGTAGTCACTAAGCAGGAAGCTGGAATGGGAGTGGCTCCAAAAGTCGAGGATGGACTGGACACTAAAAGGCAACAGGAACACTAAATTTTCCATGCAATGGCAAGTAGCAGGCAAGCTAGAAACACCATCAATTCCATTACAGTAGGGGATGCGCCTTTTGAGGAGCCAAATATTGTCAAGCATGCGGTATAGAATCATTTCTCAAATCTATTCACAGATGATTGGAAGATCAGACCTATCTTAACTAGGGACTTCACGAGTGTTAGATCCAGTACTTCTTTTCACTTGCTAGAAGCTGAATTTTCTGAAGAAGAAATTTGGGCAGCAATCAAAGACTGCAATGGGAACAACGCCCCAGGTCCAGATGGTTTCAACTTGTTGTTCTTTCAGAAATTTTGGAAGCTACTCAAAGATGATATTCTTAACTTTATGAAAGACTTCAATGCTAATGGCAAACTGGCTCCGGGTTTAAGCAGTTCTTTTATTATTCTCATCCCAAAAAGGGAGAAAGCTGTGTCATTAAATGAATACGGACCCATCTGTTTGATTGGCTCTGTTTACAAAATTCTCTCAAAAGTACTCACAACTAGGCTTCAACAAGTCATGCCTACGGTAATCGGGGACTCACAATTAGCTTTTCTGGGGGGTAGAAGCATTCTTGATGGAGTTTTGATCACAAATGAAGTTGTGGATGGCTGCAATAAATCCAAGAAAGCAGGGTTGCTCTTTAAATTAAACTTTGAAAAGGCGTTTGATTCCATCAATTGGAATTTTCTATTCTCAATGCTTACGAATTTTGGGTTTGGACAAAAATGGATCTCATGGATGCGGGAATGTGTCTCCACTGCGAGAATTTCAGTTCTTATCAATGGCTCTCCAACTAAGGAGTTCAGCCCCCAAAAAGGTCTTCGGCAAGGTGATCCCTTATCACCACTCCTATTCAACTTAGTTGTTGAGGCACTGAACGTACTATTTCAGAGAGCTATGGAGTTGAATTTGCTAAAAGGGGTATCTATTGGTTTCAACCAAGTGTGACTCTCCCACCTACAATGCGCAGATGATTCACTACTATTTTGCGAAGCTGAGCTGTCAGAAGTCCTTGCTTTGAAAAGAATACTCAGATGCTTTGAAGTGGCTTCAGGCCTCAAAATCAATTACCACAAAAGTGTGGTTTGTGGTGTTGGTATTTCAATCTCTGAACTTGCTGTTTTTGCATCCCTACTGAATTGTAAGACCCAAACCCTTCCACTTAGGTATTTAGGATTGCCTTTGGGAGCGAATCTAAGGAGAAAGAAAACATGGCAACCAGTTATTGATAAGTTTAAGTTGAGACTTGCTAGTTGGAAAAGAAGACTCCTCTCTTTCACAGGCCGATTAATATTGGTGAAAGCAGCACTATCAAGCTTACCTGTATACTTCTTGTCTCTTTATAGGCTGCCTGAAGGAGTTGCTAAGGAGCTAGACAAAATTCAACCCTCATTCTTATGGGGAGGCTCAGATTCAAGGCGAAAAATCCACCTAGTGAAATGGTCAGAGGTTACCAAGAGTATAAAGCAGGGTGGGTTGGGCATTAGAAGAGTTAAGGATGTAAATGTGTGCTTACTCCTGAAGTGGTGATGGAGGTTTCCATCTGAAAATGACTCGTTATGGAAGAAAATCATCTGTAGCAAATACAAATTCCTTGGTGGGAGATGGTTCCCAAACCTCAGCCCAAGAATCAAGTTATCAAACATCTAGAATGGTATTGTATCAGTAGTGGTGCTGAACGAGTCCCTCTTTCAATACTATACCAATAACCTAAAATTAAAGGTGGGTAATGGTTGTAGAATCAGGTTTTGGAAAGATAATTGGTGTGGAAATATTTGTCTAAAAGATGAGTTTCCTCTATTTTGTAAGACTCCTATGAAGTTTAAAACTTTCTTTTTGAGATGTAATGTAATGGAACAATCTTTTTAATCAAGTATATTGTGGTTATTATGTATCATATCCTATGTATGTACCTTATCGTTGCTTATGAGATCTTGTGTCAATATCTTTTAAGATCTGTCAAAAGGGTAGTGCGCTGCCTAAGAAAGCTGGACTTAGAAGGGAGGCTATTTTGACTCCTCCGGTGATCTGGGATCTTACTTGGCTATTGACCATAGGACTCATTAGTGACTCTCCCTTGTCTGCAACCAATAGTGTAGAATCGGGGCGTCACAGGGTTGCTCTTTAAATTAGACTTTGAAAAGGCGTTTGATTCCATCAATTGGAATTTTCAATTCTCAATGCTTACAAATTTTGGGTTTGGACAAAAATGGATCTCATGGATGCGGGAATGTGTCTCCACTGCAAGAATTTCAGTTCCTATCAATGGCTCTCCAACTGAGGAGTTCAGCCCCCAAAAAGGTCTTCGGCAAGGTGATCCCTTATCACCACTCCTATTCAACTTGGTTGTTGAGGCGCTGAACATACTATTTCAAAGAGCTATGGAGTTGAATTTGCTAAAAGGGGTATCTATTGGTTTCAACCAAGTGCGACTCTCCCACCTACAATTCGCAGATGATTCACTACTATTTTGCGAAGCTGAGCTGTCAGAAGTCCTTGCTTTGAAAAGAATACCCAGATGCTTTGAAGTGGCTTCAGGCCTCAAAATCAATTACCACAAAAGTGTGGTTTGTGGTGTTGGTATTTTAATCTTTGAACTTGCTGTTTTTGCATCCCTACTGAATTGTAAGACCCAAACCCTTCCACTTAAGTATTTAGGATTGCCTTTGGGAGCGAATCCAAGGAGAAAGAAAACATGGCAACCTGTTATTGATAAGTTTAAGTTGAGACTTGCTGGTTGGAAAAGAAGACTCCTCTCTTTCGCAGGCCGATTAATATTGGTGAAAGCAGTACTATCAAGCTTACCTGTATACTTCTTGTCTCTATATAGGCTGCCTGAAGGAGTTGCTAAGTAGCTAGACAAAATTCAACCCTCATTCTTATGGGGAGGCTTAGATTCAAGGCGAAAAATCCACCTAGTGAAATGGTCAGAGGTTACCAAGAGTATAAAGCAGGGTGGGTTGGGCATTAGAAGAGTTAAGGATGTAAATGTGTGCTTACTCCTGAAGTGGTGATGGAGGTTTCCATCTGAAAATGACTCGTTATGGAAGAAAATCATCTGTAGCAAATACAAATTCCTTGGTGGGAGATGGTTCCCAAACCTCAGCCCAAGAATCAAGTTATCAAACATCTAGAATGGTATTGTATCAGTAGTGGTGCTGAACGAGTCCCTCTTTCAATACTATACCAATAACCTAAAATTAAAGGTGGGTAATGGTTGTAGAATCGGGTTTTGGAATGATAATTGGTGTGGAAATATTTGTCTAAAAGATGAGTTTCCTCAGATCTACAGGCTGTCACTCAACAAGGATGGGTTACTCAAGGACTTTGTGGATGTCTCTGGCCCTACTAAGCATTGGGTTTTCACATTTAGGAGGCCCCTCTTTAACTGGGAGAAAAGTGAACTACTTAGACTCACTACCACCCTATATCCAACTCCCATACTTAATCTGGAAGCCCAAGACAGTGCAGTATGGTCAGAAGCTATTGCAGGGCAGTCTCTTGTCTCGGTCTTTTATAATCATACCAGCATTGCCCATAGATCATGTAATCATCCTATTCGTCTGGTGTGGAACAAGCAACTCCCGCCCAAAGTGCAATTTTTCAGCTGGCTCGCATGGAAATATAAGCTAAAAACCTCTATCTTCCTTCAGCGTATTGGTATCTTAGATGGGTCTGCCTTTACCCTATGCATATTTTGTCAAGCACAGTAGGAAACAGCAGAACATGTTCTAATCTCTTGCCCTCAGGTATGGAAAGTTTGGACTGGGCTATTAAAGTGGTGGGGGACTACTTGGGTTGTCCCAAATTCTGTCCCAAACTTGCTGCTATGGTGGTCAGTTTATGATTGCAGAAAGTCTGAACATCGAATATGGAATGCTATTCCTCTAGTAACTCTATGGTCCATCTGGAAACATAGGAATGAATGTCTCTTCAAAGCATCTTCGCCAAATCTACAGGAGCTACAAGAGCTCATTGTCACCAGGATTTCCATTTGGTTGAAAGCTACGTCTACGAAGCTCCACTTTTCGATCAATGATTTTATGTACAACATCTCAGCTGTTAGGCACTGTATCAATGAAGCGTAAGTAAGGGTGCTGATCTGTTTCAATTTGATGGTATGCTGCTGAGTCACATTTGCAAATTAGCATTACTAAGGATCACAGAGGCTAACACACAAAAGGGTGACTTCATCTGGCTTCGTTCTGATCTGAATATGCTCGCTGCTGCTGCTCAGTTCCCATCTGTTGTTCTGTGTTTCTGTTGTCCAGCTTTGTTCTGTATTTGATTTGTTCTGGTGATCTAATCTGTTGTTCTGCTTTGTTCTATTATGGTGATCTGATCTAGTTTGTTTCCATTGTTCTGCTTTGTTCTGTTCTAGTGATCTGATCTAATTGTGCTTGTGGCTGGGTGTCTAGCAATTTTGGTTAGGTGTTTCGACTATGCATGCTGCAATTCTGTTTATATCTGCTGAAGTGTTTTGTTTTATTTTGATCGGTGTATGTAGCAGCTTGTGGCAGCTTTGGCTGGGTGTCTAGCAATCTTGGTTAGGTGTTTCGTCTTTCCCTTTCGTTGGTTCCTCGCCAACTCGGAGGTGCTTGCAAATGATAGGATGGGCTATTTGGTGCCAACCTCGTTGGGATGCTTCAGCTCATTATGATGCTTCTGCACTCCCCCTCTTTCTTTATTGGTGTAACTTGTTTTGTACCTTGTACCGATTTTTAAATCAATAAAGTTCTTTCTTTGCCGTTTTCAAAAAACAAATACTAGTGTTTATTATTAATTATCTCTAGCTTTGTATTTAATATATGACTATATATATTTTTTATTATATTTTGATTTTTATTTGTAGTGTTTTGAATAAATTGTCACATTAGGTCAATTATATATAAAAGTGGTTATGTACATCTTGTTACATATTTTTTTGATAAATATTAAAAACAAAAATTGTGATAAATGTTACACAATTTTTTGACAAAGTTGTTACAATTTTGTTTTTTAATTAACAAAAAAGGAACCTTTATTGATGAAGAAACAAAATACAAGAGATGAAACTTGGATTAATAAAGTATGGAAGTGCATCGAGCATCATAGTAAACTCAACAATTCTGTAGTTTTTTTTTTTTTTTTTTTGGTTTCTGTTTTTTGGGTTTGCTTCTCGCCACCCCTTTGGCTTGAGCTAGCATATGATTGGGTGTTTCCCTTGGTACCAACATAGTTGGGATGAAGGGTTTCGTTATGATGCTTTTTGCTCTCCTCCGCTTTATTAATGTTATCCATATGTATGTACGTTGGATGCTATCAATAAAGTTTTTTTTTTGGTAATAAAACAAAAGAGGTAGCTTAATCATATGGCACCACTTAGCCCAAGATTAGAGAGAGTCCAATTAAAATAGTCAAGAAAGCAAACGAAAACAATAGAAACAACAAATCACCTCTAAGGTAAAATAATCCCATAAGCTACAGATACACGCCCAAGGCCAAAAATAGCTCTGTAGCATCAACAATCAACAACAACTAGCAGATATACACCCAAAGTTTTTACAATTTGTGTTTGCAAAAATAACGTTTTTTGATGTATCATGCTTTTCTTATCGAAGTGTTACTCAACAATTATAGGTTCTATTATATTTCAATTTGTTGAATAACATTTGAATGGAATGCCATCTAAAAAAAATCCTCTATCCATCTTATAGTAACGACAATTCGAAAAATTATCTTGAAAATGGGGGGATGGTGTCGATTTAAAATTGGTGAATTCAAGTTACACCAAAAATGATTTTGGTACATAGATGCACTATATAGTTAAGAAACAAGTTAGCCAAACATTGATGGAGATCTTGAAACAGAGCAAGCAATTTGCCCACCTCATCACAACAGAGCACCCATTTTGTGACCTTCAAACCATGATCTAACTGACCTTAGTAATTCCAGAACACACTGAACTAAAGTCAGGAGAGAGTGGCATAAGAAAGACGCAGACAGAAGGCCACAAAATACACAATGTTTGCCTTTTCGAAGAATCCATGTCCATACAAGACCAAGAAAAGCTATAATCATCCTTTTCTTTCTTTTTTCCTTCACCCAGCTTCATACTTCAACAAGAATGAAATTTTTGTTGGAAAATATTTTTGAAAAAAATCAATTTAATACAAATAAATGAAAATAAAACAACAGAAGAAAGTCCTTGCATAAGAAATTTGGCAAAAGTTGGAATAAATTGTGACTAAGATTAGTATTTAAACACTATGTTTTTAAGATAGAAATTCATTATCGCCTCTAACGCTTGGATTAATGGATGTCCTGCATAGTGGCGGACACAAGAATTCTTTGTAGGAAAGGCTAGTTATATGCATCTAGAATTAATATTAAAATTTTAATTATTTTATTATTGACAGAGATATCATTTATATGTTATAGACAAAGATCCACTTTTTTTCTTTTTTTCTTTTTTTTTTTTTTTTTCCCCAAAATGGAGATTTTATTAGATTCAAGTGTAAAAAAATTAACAACAAATTCAGAAAAAAATTGCTAGAACAAGTGGCCTCCAGCCACTGCCGGTGGTGTATGGGGGTGTCTCACAAGACATTCCCTGCCCTTCTAAGGCAAAACAAAAGTGTTCGGTGCAATACCGGACACCACACGGTCAAGTCCGGAGATCCTGAGGTAGGGCGCGCGAGCCGAGACCTCCGGGAACTCCAAACGAACACAATCATGGATGATCACCGAGTGTTCAAACGGTGACGTCCAAGTCTTGAGGACGGTTAAAAATGGGGTGTCTACAATACATCAGTAGCATAGACCATCAGCATACTCCAGCAGCACAAAAATCTTTAAGCAGAGCAGACCTCACTCTCTTCAGAAGAAAAACCAGTAGCATACTACAACAACATAGACCAGCAAACCTATGGGCAACTCTATGAGCAGACCTTTCACCAGATCTTGAGCATACCTTAGACACAACCCTTTACTAAGCCAATTAAACAGCCCAAACCAATCCACTGAACAACAGCATACAGACCTTGCACCAGGCCACTAACATCAGACCATACAGCAACAAGTCTTACACCACAACAGCAGACCCTTCTCCACAACTACTATGCAGACTTCAGAAGAGCATCATACAACACTAGCAACAAACATACCAGCAACAAACAAATAGCAACAACCAATCTTCAATCCAATCAGCAAAACATAGCAAAACCAAAAGCCTTACTGAGTAGAGCATCTGTTAGCAATAGAGTAAAGATCAGTGACCCTATAGCCAATCTTCTGTTGCATGCCACCAAACTTGAGCCAATTCATTCAACCTCCATTTCTGATACAAAGACTTGTCTCCATAGAAGCATACCAATGTCTACACACAGAAGTACACCACATCAGATCATACACTAGCAGCAGACTTGTCTCCACAGCAGCCAAATCTTTTAGCAGATCTTAGATACATTCCTTTACCTGACTTAGATTCTCTACAATTTGATGCACTAAGTAATGGACATTAGGCAAAGAAGATCTAACCCACAACCCAACCCTCACTTTTACTAACTCACTAAGCTCCTTCATATCTAGTAGATGACCTTTGAATATAACCTCATTCCTAAGCCACCACATTGACCACAACATTGCCACTGGTACCATCACCCAGATTTTCTTTACTAATTTCCTCTGCTTAGTTCCCACCCATCAATAAAGCACAGCATCCAACATAGCAGGAGATACCTAGCATAAATTCCACCATTGCAACAACCTTCCCCAAACCTTCCATATTTCAATACACTACACAAAAAGATGATCCATAGACTCTTCTGCAGCTGAACAAAATGGGCATATAGCACTCACACTACTACCTAGCACCCCTAATCTTTGCAAAACAACTGATGACTTAACCCTTCCTCTCCAAGCCAACCAACTCAAGAAATGTGCTTTAGGTGGTGCCAAATTATTCCATAGCATCTTAGGAACCAGTAAACAAGGACCAGAATTTTTCTGAAGCCAAGTCACACAAATGCCACTGTGAACACACCAGATGAGGATGCAATCCACTTGACAACATCACACAGATTATCATTCAACCTGGGTACATCCTTTTTCATCACTTGCAGCTTCCTTACCTCCTCTACCTCCCAAGCAAACAAAGATCTTCTAAACTGTACTCTCTAGTGACCATCTATGTCCCTCCTTAGCATAAAATAACTCAGTTTTTCATCTTTTTCCATAGAGAGTCTGAACAACCTAGGGAACTCCTCTTTTGACTGCAAATCCATACACCACCTATGATGCCAAAACTTTATCCGACACCCATCCCCAACCACAATCTTCAGCTTTGACACAAAAAATTGATACAACTTAGGATTAACGTCTGCCACTCTCAGAATATCATTCCACAGAACATACTCCATGCCTTTCCCATTCTGTATTGGTATCCACCTATCCCCATCAGTCCCATACTTGCTAACGACAACCCTTTTCCATACTGACTTATCCTCCACCCCATATCTCCACCACCACTTTAGCAACATACAATCATTTATGTCCTTAGCCTTCCTTATACCTAGCCCTCCCTGATCTTTACTCAGTGTGACATCCTTCTATTTTACCATATGAACCTTTCTTTTGAACTTATAACTGCCCCATAAGAAAGCAGCCTTCAACTTATCAATTTCCTTGGCTATACCATTAGGTAATTTAAAGATTGAAATATAATACCCAGGTAAACTATCCATAACTGATTTACCCAAGGTTAGCCTACCAGCAAATGACAAAAACTTCCTCTTCCAAAGAGCTAATCTGGACTTGGCCTTATCCAACACAGGTTGCCAAGTCTGTTTCCTCCTAGGATTTGCACCAAGTGGCAGACCTAAATACTTTAGAGGTAATTTCTGACATAAACAATGCAAGAAAGAAGCAAATTCATGAACCTGATCGTCACTTATTCCTACACCACACACTACACTTTTATGGAAATTTCTCTTCAAACCTGACATTACCTCAAAGCATCTACGAATTCTTTTAACAATAACAATCTCCCCCCATTTTGCTGCACAAAACAGTATAGTATCATCTACAAATTGAAGGTGAGATAGTTTCA